GTAACTTGCTGACTTGATCGCTTGACATTCCCTTAGACTTAGGATGCAGTTCTAATCTCGTTCGCCCTGTAGCGTAATCGATTGGTGCGTCACACCACCAAGGGGGCGTCACGCTTTGTGGGTTCTTACGGCATTGCTTGTGGTTCCTCACGGAATTACCTTGCTTACGAGCTTTGGTGTACTGTACTTAGTCGACCTTCGGACTAACGTACTGTCGAGTTCACTAGTAATAGCAGAACGATCTTGGTCACTGTAGTTCTCCTCTCGACGGACTACATTTCTGGTAGCAGCTCCTTGTTGCTATTACTACAACTCCGTTCCCTTTAAGCTCGGTTATCCCTTATCAGTGGTTAAGACCATCCTCTACGTGCTTGGTTTCCAATGTCGTCACCTGGTAACGATCTTGGCATTCACAAGAAGGATCTGTCGCTCATTGGAGAGCAAGCAAGAGCAGATGCCACCGCTGCTGGTATGGACGACGATGCTACTCAATACCACATACGGTTGGCCGTTGACCATGCCAGAGATTACAACGACCTCTTTGACGCCTTGTCAACTCGGGCTGAGGCTGGTTCGGTACGCCCTCAGGCTCCAGTTATCGACCGTGGCCACAAGGAGGAACTTCGTGTCAACCTGCAAATGCCGGAACGATACAATGGCACCACTGACTTTGCCGCATGGTTGAGACGCTATGAGAACACTGCTAATGCTGCCGGTTGGACTTCGGCTACGAAGGCTTCTCGCTTAGGAATGTACCTTACCGATGAGTTCTACGAGATGTGGGATCAGTACGCCCCTAAGCAGACCTTCGAGGAGGACGGTCGGATCATGCTGCAGATGCTGGCTCGTCGTCCAGCGGATGCTCTCTTGGACAACTTTCATGATCTTCGGTGGGCTCCTGGTACTAACGTCGGTACGTTCTTGGCACGTGCTCGACGTATGTTGACCGAATACAATAAGAAGTTAACTGATGATAAGAAGCTCTCTAACGCTTCCCTCGACCAGATGATCCTCAACAAGTTGATCGCCTTGGCCCCAGCTTCAGCGAAGGCGGAGCTGAGACGACGTCAGCCTACCCGCATTGAGGAAATGGTTGACATCATCAGCGACTACGCTCCGGCTACTGACCTGACTTCGGCTTCGAGCCCT